GCTGCATAAAAATCAACAACCCTGTGCCACTCCTTCGGCAACAAGTCCACCAAAACTTCCAGATCTTTTCTGATTCAGCAATTTCAGACAACTCTCGCGGATTTCTTAAACGTTGGCGAATCTTCAATCACCCAAATGATGCTTCGAACAAGTGGAAATTAGTTGGTGACAACGCGGTGGTTGTTGCGAAAAAAAATTTATGCTGAGCTTTGGGACTTTTTATGTTGAAGACAGAACTTTTGCGACAACCTTACATGAGGCAGCAGAACATCTCATCGCTTCCAGCCATGAACAAACCGTTCACTCACTTTATCTGTCCCTTAACCATTATATCAAATTCTAGTCCATGATAAATCAAACAAAAAATGCTAGAAGCTGCGCCATTTCGTCAGATAAGGCGAGCGAACCTCACGCTCCTACCAAGATAACCAAGCCTTTGTCTGACAATGAAGCTGTCAAGATGCACAGAAAGACTCCCTAGTTTGACATATGTGCAGACATCTCATTAACTGATATTGTTCAACAACGAATAAGCGAAACGCCGAAGGCGTTGGGGAGCGTGCGCATTTTCAGCTTCGCTTCTATCAACTGCATGGTATTCGGAAGAGCGTGAAGGACCTACCAGTCAAAAACACCCAACAGAATTTATCTGACAACTCGGGTATCTACATGGGCTATCTGTCGGCGATTATACGCAGAATCCCTGCTGTGGAAAAAACTAACAACACAAAAGAGGATGGGGCAATTGCCGCCGATCAATCCTTTCGAGATGGTGGAAGGCTCTGGATTCGCTGGCGTATCGCTCGCACGCCTCGAAAGTAGCACTAATCGCTAGCAAATTGCACGATTCGCTAGCGATTAGTGCAAAGTCTGACACCTGCCTACAATGGAAGTTTTTATCTTCCAAGAAAGGCTCGATATCACCTGCCAACCTAAGAGGAATTGGCTCGGAATGGCCAGCAGTTGAACCAAGTTCTGACTCTCGGATCATGCGTAGAAAGCGGCGTTGCTCACCACTACCACCTCCGACAAAAAAGAGGCGATCATAGGTATGGACGTGTGTTGCCTGCTGTAAGTAATCCTACGGCAGATTTTTTAACCAGGGATAGTCCACAAAACAACGTTTAAAAGCGCAGTCACTGCTCGTAATCAAACAAGTCATCATTAGGCCTGAGCCACGACCCACACTGCTTATTCTTTCAGGAGCGCAATAGAAGACATTGGTGGTGGAAAATGAGAAAGTAACTTCGAAGGCGAAACACATTGATGTGTCCAAGTCACTTGAATTGAAAAAAAATATTTCAAAGAAATCGAAGCCATATATATTTTTGCAGGACCATATGTACTTGATTTACAATCCAAAAAACGACAATATTGTTATTTTCAAGTATTACAAGCTCGAGGTGATCAAAATAGTCATAATATTATCATAACATTACACCGACTAAACTCCCACGTAACTGCTTCGCTTTCTCGAAACGTTCCCGCGTATCAGTGACTATTCATCTTTTTGAGTGCCATTCTAAATTACACTGAGGAGACTTGAAAGCGGTGGCAATGACAATTGACAGCGTCGTAATATTGACTTTCTCGCTTCTCTTGCAAAGTGTCAAAAACGGAGACTGACAAGAGACGCAAAGAGAGCGCACCCGGCTGCCAGGATTCGCTCAGCAACGACTTACTCCAATAGTCGTCTGATCAGCAAAACGGGATGGTTATTGCCAAAAGCTCAAAAGTTCCAATAGAACACTTTCATTAAACTTTACTTCTACTTCCTTAAAAAAAAAAACTAACATAATCCTCACAATAGCGCACACTTCCCCCTCCAACCTTCCCTTTCTCATATGCTCGCCAACTTTCTTCAGAACATTTCCAGAAATTATAGGATAATAAAAGAGAATGCATCAGTTATTATGAAAGTGTTATGAAACTCCACAAGTCTAATATCATTCTTCGTTGCAACAACGCGACATAGACGGGTCGGTTAGGGGGATAGTCGCTCAACTTTGCGCTCTTCATTTAAGATAGTCGAGGGTTACTGTCGAGACTGATGAGTCCTCATTTAGTCACTGTTCCGACTCCACTCCTGAACCCCACTACAGAAGAGAAGGAGGTATGTTGACAGTATCTCAGAATTTAATAGATATTGCGTTCAGAAATGCATTTAGGAGCCACAACTTCTCGAATTACCTAACATCCAAATCTAATCGTGCATTGTAAATAATATATTATCAAACTGCTATGACTTTCTGGGTAACGAAAGATCCTATCCCCATTTCCGGCTCACTAAACCGTTTTATGTTCCACATTTCCTTCCTTGTGCAAGGAGAGGATTGATGAGCTCCCCAAGTGTTGTTGTCCTCCACAAAAGGCATCTATCCACTACCTTACTAAACTCAGTCGAGGACGTTTGACGTTTCGCTGACCTCACTTCAATACGCTAGAGGTACACCAGAAAGAAATGCCGTCGGGCTGCCACTGCGTAAAAAACGGCCGTTCAAATCAAACTGGCCTAGCGCA